CGAGAAATGGCTCAGTGTGTGTCTGATAGCAGCTTCAGTTGCTGTGAAAATGCAGCCAATGTACATGCTGCCAACACTGACATATATAGATGCTGATCTTTAGCCACACCAGCAGACAGGGTAATAACAGTCAGTCCACCACTGAACTATCTAAACAGCTATTTCATGGACTCCCACCAAACATCGTGCAGTCATTGTGCAAATTTCTAACTTTTCAACTGGCACCATCAGGTAAAAATTGTATTCATACCTAAAGACCTGCAAAACAAATGGCATGTCTCTTGCAGCTGCTTTTTGTGATGGTAGTATTTAAAAAGATTAGAATGCTAACAAGCTAAAATAGCATTTACTAGCATGACTTGCACAAAATTTTCCAACACTGCTCACATTATTTAGATTAACCTACCCCCAAATACAATATATTTTAAGTTTACAAATAACTCAACTCAACCAAAGAGTAATAAACGCTTTCTTACTACAGTTGCCCTCTTTGCTTCAGTCTACCTCACTCAGCTTAAAGGTGGAAAGTTGAGCCTCCTAAGTTCTTCACTAAGACCACTTCATGATTGAGATGCACTTTCACGGACCATAATGCCTTGATCCTGAGTGGTCCGAATGGTTCTGGTAATGTCCTCTGCAGCCTGTCAGGTTTGAACCCTCTGACTCATGGCTTCAGGGTCTCGTTTTCATCTGCGAGAGTCAGACGCACTCACTGCGAGCAGAATGTTCTCCACCTGTTGTTGTGTGTGACTATGCAATGTGTTCCCTCTGTTCGGCTTTGGAGAGCCATTACCTGGGTTGAATAGTTTCCAGATTGCTCCTTACCTGTGACATTGCTTCTTGGAATCTATTTAAGATGGGGATTTTCTGAGAGAAAAGGAGAGAGGGAAACGAACAAGAGAGACAGGCATAGAAAGAGAGAGAGAGGAAAGAGGATGAATGAAATAAGGATGGAAAATGTGTGGCTCTAAGTAACAGATTATACAACTGCACTTCTGAGCTGTGTGGTTATGAGAGACGGGGCAGTAGAAGCATTATGTTTCCATTTCAACACATCACGCACAGGCTAAGTGTAAAAGCTCTCTAACTCTGTGATGAAAGTCTAAAAGATGGTTTGCAAGATATGCTGCTATCATCAATGTGGCTAATAACACCAATCAGAAGACCAATATTTTGTAAAAATAAGACATTGGAAGTATATTACCGCAAGCCCTAGAGAAATAATTATTCCAACTTGGCTCACATGCATCAAAAGATCAAACTGTTCCCTCATTCACCAACTGTTGATGACGATAATGATGACAATGATGATGATACAAGTTAAAGGATGCTTCAGGGTCACGACCATTTCTTGGAATTTCTCCCTAATAGCTGAAAATCTCAGCAAAATGTTTGGTGGTCATGCTTGGCTGATTTGAGATGGTGGTGAAGTCACACTTGTTTGTGTAAACTAAATTTGTCATGTACAGAAACCACACATTTCAACGTCTTTTCATGACTTTAAAAGGGAAAATGTGAAACTATTATTAATACTTTCTCTCAAATTTCAAGAGAAAACTGTTCAAAAAGGTTGGATAAGTAAACAAGGTTCTATCATCCATGTTAATAGCATGTTAACAGTTTAAACTGTTAGCATGTTGTTACATTTGATCATGAATCAAAAAAATATAGGTAATTCTACTTCTAACTATATGAACCAAATCCCGTCACAGTACATGTGCACCAGTGTTTCATTATAACCAGTATGAGACAGTATGAAACAACCAGTACATTTTTAATTTTACAAAACGTATACCTGCTATTATCATTTTGGCAGTTTTACAATATTAACTTGGAGCAGAGTTTAATTTCTAATACAATTCAAAAATGTGTAGGGTTTAATACTTAACTGGGGATTTCAGCAGATTCAGCCCTGGTTAACTCATGTTAACAGTCATGCTAGCACATCACCTCTGATAATGGAAATTGGCGTCACTCATTGTAAACTGAACTTAATTGCGCTTCCCTCTATGTATTTACTCAAGCCTCCATGACTAGTTTTATTAGTTCAGTAGCAAACGTGTGTGTGTGTGTGTGTGAGAATGCACCATCCCTGAGATTTGAACATAATGGTGCATCCTTCCCTGATGTGTTCAAGTCAACAGTCACAAAGAAGAGGCTGAAAGAAAACACTTGCCGTCTGCTCCTGGAGGAAACAGCCACATGACAATGTGGGTTGAGACCATGCAAGAACACTGAGGGGAGGAAGGATTGGTTTCCTGGACGTTGTGTGCCTGTGGCGCATTCCCTCTCAGCTTTGTGAATGCATCAACATAAATTCAGGCACGGAATAAAAGCTGTGTCACTGTGCTGAGGTGGCATTGTGTTACGGCCGGGTTAAAATATGCTACAACAAAGGGGGTGACAGGTTGTCGCTTGTGATCTGAGTAACTTCAGTGTTCTGTGCCACAGCTAAAAGATGGGCTGATACTGCATTACATGGACTGTGTGTGTTAGATTTTACATGAATGCACACAGTTACAGTACATTTGTACATGAGTATGTGCTCATAAGACATGTGCAGGCAATATTAGTGTGATTACCATGTGAGGACAAGCAAGTAGATCCATAAACAATCCTTGCTCTCAAAACCCATGTCAATATTTGACAATAAGCCCATGCAAAATGCACACACATGCCAGCTACATTAAAAAGTCATGGGAAAATTCACTCAAGATTTGGTTCTTCTCATGCATGCACTGCAGTGGCTTGTGAGGACTTCAGGTATCTTCAATTATGTAGCACTGGTGACCACTTGTCAGTATCAAAGATGCAATGCTCTGCTGTATTTCAGGAATAAATCTGCTGTTCATTTCTTCATGCACGCACTCGGATCATCAAGCACTTTTGCTCTTGTCCAAACAGTAGCGTAGCTCATCTTCTCAAAAGAGGTCTTATTATGTAAATGATGAACTCATGTGCATCTTCTTTTCACCTTGAGAGTTATTTCCACAGCTGGCACACAAATGTCTCGTTTTTTCTCCGGTTCGAGGTGGAAAATGCAGCACACTCCATTCTCTTTTTCCAAATGTGGTATTGTAGTGACTTCAGCAAGCAAGCCTCCAATTGAGGTTTCTATCCACGAGAAGTGCAATCACTTATTTGGTAGTAGAGCCCTATTCCTACTCCACTCCAAACCCCAGGAATGCTGTGTTTGCTTTAAAAAGATGCTAAACTGAATGCTGGAAAACAACTAAAAAATGCTAGAGTTTTGGTTGTTTGATCCTCGATGGGAATTTTTCTTCGAGGAGATTATAAATGGGAACTGTAGAGGTGAGTGGAGGGGTGTGTTCCAGCCTGCTGTGTGTCACTGATCAGAAAAGGCTCTCATGCCACGGATATAGATCTAATTTAATTTTAGGGGAAAAGTACTTTTTCACTGCTTCATTTACTTGAGCAGGCATGGCTTCTCTAAAGTGCAATAACTGTCAGGATTAAAGACAAACTAGAAAGACACTCAGTAGAGCGCATATCTCTTCCAAGGCCCAACAGTCCCCTTAAATTCAATCAAGCTACACTAAATTTCACATACTTACAGATATCAGTCCACTAAATATCCATAAATTAATTCCTGAGCAATTTTTAAAGAAAGTGATAAAGAATTATTGGATCTGCTCCCTGATTAGGATCCACACCAAAATTTAATGGGTTCTTCTCTGACCCATACTGCATACTAAGTTTCATAATACTCTGTTCAGCTGTTTTTGTGTAATCTTGCTCATACAAACAAACAGACGGGTCCAAACATAACCTCCTGGTGGTGACAACAAGTTGAATCCTGATTTCTTCAACTGGCATTTTTATTGCAAAATAGTCACAATTTGAATTTGCTACCAGTTGTATAAAGCAGGTCAAGCGGTTATGGAACCTTTCATGTGACCTTAAAATCTTATAGTATTATATAATGGATTATTAATACAGCTGTTTTTAAGATTAGTTTTAAACCTGTTCATGGTAACATTGAAATTAAATGCCTCTAAGTACAATGCTGGGTTAGAAGTTTTGAACTTGAATGTTGACATTTAGAATATTAAAATCATTATAGAATATGGGTCTAGATGGTGAATGCCCCTTGTAAGTTTGAAGGCGTTCTGTACAATTGAAGTTACCAACTAACGGTAGATGTTAGAAGGTGTTAGCAGCCACCAGAAGATGTTAGGGACATAACCTCAGTTGTGCACCTTCGCGTCATTGAGTGTTTTGGCCTTGTAATCAACAATACCGGCTGAACTTGAGACACTTCACACTTCGCTGTGGCTAAAGGTAAATCTGACTGGCTACTGGCTTGTATGGCAGCACTATGAAAGCCATGAGGCCCCCTCAAGTAGATCAGACATCAGTACCTCTATGCCATTTTAAACTAAACCCATAGGACAAGATGGAATATCCCTTGTATGTTCTACCTCACTAATTTATGCTTACCACCAGTTGATGTTAGTGGGTGTTAACAAAAGGATAAAAAAGGGTTAGAAAAGATTTTGCTTCATTCTGAGGGTTACATTTATAAACATTTTAAGCCTGCTAAAGCAGATTTAAGATGTTGGAGTATATAAATAAAACTAACGTTGGACATTATATGACATTTGTTGTGACACACAAGCTGAAAATAGCAGTGATCCCGCTCTGAGTGTTGACTGGTGACCTGTCATTACCCACAGTCACACCAGGTTAACACTTTTCATTGACTTCATCTTTAATCTCAGTTCACTTTGCAGCTCTTTAAAACGTCTCCACACTTCCTCACACCTCATAGGTCAGAGGATGAACCGCCTCCCATGGGCGGCTCCAATCTCATTGGCCAGTCTTGCTGGAGCCCACCTCGTTTCTCACAGACATCTGCGCTCTCATTGGCCGACGCACCCGATCATCATAGTGGGCGTCAGCGGCGGGGCTCTTCCGGGTCGCGTTGTGATTGGCCGGTGGCGCGCTGTGACGTCACGGCACTGCCAGCTGATCGGAGTGAGAAGCCGGTTCGCGGAGAGGAGTTAGACCGGAGAGGAAGAGCGAGGGAGACCGGGGAGGGAGCCCCGAGGAGCGGTCAGCAGCGCGGGGTGGGGACCGGACAACCGGATGCTCTCACCGGAGCGTTTTAAACCGCTTTATCTTTAGACATTTAAACGCTAGTACTCGGAGTGCAGGGGACACACGGCGGCGGTGTGGTGAGGGGGAAACTTCGAGTGTCGTCGTCACCTCTGGAAGTGTCAGAAAACAGAGTTAAGGTGTGGCTGAGTGTGTGTGTGTGTGGTGTGTGTGTCTGTCTGTGTGTGTCAGGCTCTGAAACACGAGCGGACACACACTCGGTCTCGAACATCTACTAGCGGCTCCAAACAGCCTCCACACTAGTTTCCATTAAGGAACACATTACATAACTAACGTATTTCCATCTCGACGCGTAAAATTCCTCCTCCTCCTCCTCCTCCTCCTCCTCCTCCGCAGAAGATCATAGATCCACCAGACTGTTCCGCTGTTTAAGAAGAAAGTCGAGCGTTTTTCTTTTCTTTTCTCGGGTGTGAAATTTAACGGACGTGGCAACTTCGCAGCCGCCGACCCTCTGCTGCTGAACGCCACAGGCGCAAAACTGGGCGTGGGGGGTGAGAAGAGTCCGGACTGAGGCTGATGATCCTCATGTACCATTTGCGCAGAAAATCCCGCAATATTAGCGTAAGTGACGAGAGCCTCGTTGTGGATTGACGTGGATCAAAGTAAGTTCGAGTGTCAATTGCGTTTTTGAAACTTTTTTTTTTTCCTGAGGAGGTGACATGTAGGACCCAGGAACAAGGTGTGCTACGGCTATTTTCTAGATAGAAGTGTACCGTGGTTATGAAGCCGCAGGATCTAAAGTGAATTCACATAATGTTCTGTCTGTGGCGGTGGGCCTGGGTCACTTCTCTGCATTTGTTTGTAGCAGGATTGTGATTACAGAGGGTGTGTCTTTTTTCCATGGATCTAGAAATCCAGCAGGGGAAGCAGAGGAGGGCAGACAGACCTAGAGTTAGAGATCTCTATTAGCTGTGCACAGGCTGATTTTTTTCCTGTCCAACAACATGGAGGAGTCATCCTGAAGCAATGCCACACTTTTAACTCAATCTTAATTGGGTGCACCGGCAGACTGACCCCTTGCAGCTTAATTAACAGAAGCTTTAAGCATAGAGAGATAGAGTGAATTCCTCAAGGCCCCACCCTTTGTAGCTGCAACATGGATGTGAAGGGGTTCCTCCCCTTCTCCTCTTCTTCCTCTTACTCCTCCTCCTCCATTCTCAGCGTCATTAATTTCCCCTCTCAAGCTTATCTTATTATGCTGTTATTTCCCCTCCTCTTTAGTATCTGCAGGTGCCCACAGTTGATCTTCTTGTCTTTTGATCAACTACAGGTCTCACCATCAGGATCTACTGTTCCTTCCTGGAGTCTACAGAGGTGTTAATTATCGGAGGTAAGGGTCATAACCTGTGGAGTGCTTACAGCTCTGTGTTATCCATGTGAAATATTGAAGAAAGGTTATACCTTTTAAAAATTTTATCATTTACCCGATTGATTTCCTGCATTCCTTTTTTTTGTACCCTGGTTATAACACTGTGCTCATCAACCTGTTGCAAGTTTAGCAGTCTGTGTACCCCTCCTTTCCCACCTCCCCATTTTCTATGAATTCTACTGGGCAGGACTTATGTAATCTTTAAAGGCAGTGTTCAGTGCTCTCAAACCTTTCGCTTATGCAATCCCAGTTTAAAGATTTCCACATTAAGGAAGGCAGTGGGTTAACAAATGACAAACTTATCAGTGTGCTGGTTCCAAAGCTCAAATTCTTTTTTGGTAGAAAACTGCTCAGAGTCTGTTTGTGATTCAGCGAGGATCTTGCTGCCGAGCTCTGTAGCAACCGGTGGCTTTTTTTTACCTGCGTCTCATCTGTGTCAGTGAAACGACAGCTAGGACCTTGTCGTGTCTGATCTTTGCGAGCCATAACAGCTTCTGATGGATAGCTTGGCCATTACTGTCGGTCGATTGCCCCCCCTCCCAGATTATTTTTCCTGGAGGATTCATTATTGGCTCCTTGAAAAGCTGACTTGTTACAATTGCATTTCAATTCTTTTAAGTCATCCTCATTCTGACATTATGTCTGATTGGCGATGCACGTCTCCAGCTGGAGATGCTTAGGATGATGTTTGTTAGTTTCACAGTGTTCACATCGTCTTCCCCCCATGGCCTGGACCCTTTCCTCAAGAGCGCCCGGCCTGCTGTAATTATCCCCTCTTTGGCCTTGAATAGTAAATTATACATGATGCTGCAGGCCGCTTAGTCCGGGCTACTGGTCACATCTGGATTATCAGGGTGCCCCATTTGAATGTCCATGCCCTTGTCCTTTTTTTAAATGAGAATTATCCTCAGGACTCTCAGCTCATGCCCCACCCACATTCCATGCAGGAAGTGCTGTGTTGGAACTAGTTCCTCGTATGGAGTGTGATAATGTATTCACAAGAAGTCATTGACTTTGGTTACAATAGCACATTGTGTGTGTTGAAAGACTGGGACACAAAAAGGATGGGAAAATGGTATTATTGTTAGAAGTGTCATTAAGGGCTTATAAGGATTTTAACAGTATGAAATGCAAATCAATGTCGTATTTTTTAATGTAAAAAAAGGAAGTGAAGACGCAGTGTCAGTAGACACATTCTTCTGATTCGAGGCTAGTTATTGTCGCTTTATGAAGAATTAAATTACTTTTATGAATTGTCAGTTGAAGGATGGTGACATCCTTTTTATTACCACAGACAATCAGCTGTTATGTACTGCACAGAATAGTTAAACTCTTGATACTAATAAGAAGTTACTCACTTACGAGCTCTTTTTCTCCCTCTTTCTCTCCTTCTCCCCTTTGCCATCTTTTTTGAGTGTTTGCTTTGTCTGGGCTGTGATTGTTTAGCCACGTTGTATTAACCTGTTTGTGTTCGTGGTTCGCCGGCACAGTTGTTATATCTGCATGGCTAGATGTGATTAACACAGCCGTCCAGCAGTGACGTCCATTGCGCCACTCCCCAGACACAGACACACGCACCCACACCATGCACACAGAGAAAGGGCATGTACGACGGGAGAAAGATTAGAATCTGTTTCCAGTAATTTTCTGTCCCCATGTCCTGTTATCTAGAGTCAAATGTCAAGTCATTCTGAAATTCATTATTTGAGTGCATATGAATGCTTTTATCTTTCTTATTTGCTATATTTTATGAAGATTTGTGTTCATTTCTGGGTCAGCATATTAGAAAGGGTTTGGCCAGAAAAACATTTTACTCTATTTTTTTTTTAATACCAACAGAAGAACCATTTTACTTCAGTGTTGCTGCAATTGATCAGAATAATAGAATATAAAAATGTATGATTTGATGAGTCACTCTTCCTCTGCTGACTTAAGCTCATGAATAACTAGACCATCAAGTGACTTGCTGTGACCGAGCACGACTGAACATTGACTGGTATTGACGGCCAATCACAGAAGGGAGGATCTGCGGTGTAACTGCGGTAGCTGCAGTGAGGTTGCACATTTTCATGGCCACACCCAGACAGCCACATAGGGCTAACTTTGACTAGCTTAATCTAATATTGGACATGCTTAGGGATGTTTGTTGGATATTTAAATGTTGCCTCTGATATCCTTATGCAGAATTTGCTAGTGGGTTGAAAGGGTGTGTGTCTGTGTCTGCAAGGAAAACCAAAGCTCCTTCGCAGTTATCATGCTGTGCGTAGATGTGTTTGTGTGTGTGTATATTGTCCTCTGATGGAGAGACAGATGTGCACATGCTGTGAGTTGCGTGGTGAAATCTGGGATATGGTAGTTGGTGATGCCGGGCGAATGGTATTTCAACTGCGTCCCACACTATATGATAATTGCTTCATATGGAGAGAGACTGTCACCACACCTCAGCAGGGCTCTGTGTGGTTTACCAGACCAGCTCCATACTCATATGGACTGCACATTTTACCATGTGTGCTTGTCCACTGGAAAAGTTTGCTCTAGCATCAAAAAACCAACATCAAATTAACTGGTTTTATCAGTTGAATACAAGTGTAACTACTTCGCCTGCACTAGTTTGGTAATCCTGGGAAGTTTCTAGTAAAATGGAAGCGCCATGTTTAGTTTTCACAGTTTTCTGTTAATTAAAGGCCAGGTTGTATTGTATTGTGGCTTGTAGAATTTGAACACACATACATGCACAGATAGCAACAAGTTAGTAGCCTAAGGGAGAAGAAACACAGAGAAAGAAACTATAGCAGCTTGTATGCAAAGACAGAAGAGCTAAATGAAATGTCATTGTAGACTTGGTTTGGGTGATAATTCCAGAGTTTTGATTGGTGTGCTAAATTAGGCCTAGCCTCATGCAGGCGCAGGGTGAGCTGCTCTTAAGCTGCGTTAAGATAATTTTAGGCTGAAGCAGCGCTGTAGCACACTTAGCTGTGGCTGGTCTCTGCAGGGCTGGCGGTGAGGAGCGGTGGGCCTCTCGGCAGACCGACAGGAATGTGGACCATATGTAGCAGGCATCCCAGGAATGTAACTTGGCCTCGCTGAACTGACCAACCTAAAGACACAGATAAGGAGGAGGAAAAGGGATGAAAATGAAGGCAGAGCAAGGACGATGATATTAAAGGGCGAAAAGAGATCACAGAAGCTGAAGGAGGGATGGAGGGAAATAAAAGCGTGGATCATGTAAGAAGAGGGCTCAACAAATGGGAAATGAGTGGGGAACATGGGAGGGTGGAGATGTGATAGAAAAGGGAAACAGACAAGCTACAAGGCAAGAAAGTCATAAAGACAAGTAGATACACATTCCATAATTTATTTGTTTTTATTTGAAGTTTATTTGACTGATGACTGGTGTTGTACAAGAATTACATTCAGCAAGAGCAGAAACAACTGGTCAACTGACAGAGAATGAATCGACAAAAATTCTGAAAATCTATTTTGATATTTATTAATCAATTAAAATTTTAACTATCAATTTGCATTTATCAGTATATGGTTTTGAAGTAGTAATAGTAGTTGTACTAAACAAGACATTTGGAGATTTTCCTATGGTCTTTTAAAATTTGATATACGAATAGTGAGTTTGTCAAAAAACTACTACAAATTTCAATTTTAAAAGACCATAGGAAACATTAACAAGGCAACCATGGAACTGAAAAGTGTGCCTATAAACTGTTGGATGCTAACTGCATGTCATATCTAATGTATTCAGTAAATACCCACAATGTTATAGAGGATATTAATTAGGAATGGATTAAAGAGTGGATCTGTATTTTGATTTGCACCCAGAGATTTGGTTCACGAGGTAAACGTTGTCAAGGTGTGGTGTAGTACTTTGTAGGGTGTCAGACCACAGTGTTCTTCCACCTCACTAACTCAGGGTGAATGTCTCCTTCTCGTCTCTGTTAGTTTAGCACTCTGTGCTCTCAGGCCATTGGGGTACAGCTGGGGCCTGAACAGCAGGAAACACACTAACACACAGATACACACACTTATGCAAACATTCTTCTTTTTTTAACCCCGGCTATGCTCCCTATACTCGTCCTGTTTAGTGGAGTGTCATGACTATAGTTGAATTGTCTTTTTCAATGACCAACCAAATTGTCATCAGATTATTGCTGTGATAGACATGCAGTTCTTAAACATGCAGTTCAATCTAATGAGAAATTGGCTCATAAAACCAGATTATGTTATGGGACCCACCCACAATAGCATGGCATGCTAACAATTAATAGCTGCTGATCAGTGACAGGAGCTCCTGGACTAAAGATAGCCTGGTGTGGATTGCGGGAAATCAGCATTTGTTTCCTCACAAATTGGAAAAGCAGATTTTAAAGGGAAGTCAACTTTGAATTTTAACAGTATAAATTATAAAGTCCATCAGTGAGCCATTTGGCAATTACAGAAATAGATTTTTATTGAAGAACGTAGACCAACCAGTCCTGTGGACTTAAACTTACCTGAAACAACCACCACCTCATATTTCGTAATAAAACATCACAAGAACACTAAATGTCAGTGGTCCACCATTAAACAAAAAGAAAGAATACATGTTTTGTCCTCCATCTGTCTTTAAGCATTTGCTTTGTAAAATAGTGGCTGTTCTTTTCCCCCTAAAAGTTAAACCAGCGATAGCTGATTTCCCACTGGGGAAATATATATTATCATCTTCCAGTTATTATGGAAATCCAATATTGGAAATCCAATACAGAACAACATTATCATTCATTTGAAGTAGTCTCTCTGGCCACCTGATGAATGCAAGTCCAATATTCATTTTCCTTTTAGCTCTGTTTTTGGTCTCCACCAACTCCTGAGGGAAATATCTGGCTCTGCAGCTGCTAAATGCTCCACTGTGTTCTCCAGTTAGTCACTATCAGTGTCTGTGTGCTGCTCGGCGCCAGGCAAGTAAGGTACAG